GGCCTGCTCTGCCACCCGCCGGCCGGGCTGTGACCGCCCCCCAGCTGCTGCCAGCAGGCTGCCCTGCTCTGCAGGACGGGGCACCACGGGGCTGCATCCCGGCGGGCACAGCCCCTGCCCCATGCCCTGACCCCAGGCCAAAACAGCCTCTCCAAAGGGTTACAAATAACCATGGCAACAGGACCACACCAACACCTTTTTCCTTTCCTAAGCACACAAAATGCCTTCAGGCTCCCATAAAAAGACCACCTCTTATCTTGAAATTAAGAAGTACAAAGGCAATTTTGGGCAAGTATGCAGGGCTTTATCAACTTACCTAAAAACAAATTTATATGTGGAGTGTAACAGAAATACAGCCCCTGTGTTGTACGGGTTGCCTGTCCACCACAAGGCAATGTGACAATGCGCAGGATGTAAAAACTGAAATTGGCTACCGAGTTCCAGGCAGGCCTCTTGTGACAGAGAAACTGAGCATCTTCTTTCCCCAGCAAGGAGCGACCTGGCACTAAACTACTCGTCTTGATTTAGCAGCACACGGCTGGCCAACATGACCGACTTCAGCTCATCAGAGAGGTCGAGAGCAGCAAGGGCTCTGGACCCTCCCCACCCTCTGAGCGCGGGTGCGAGGGTCTCACCACCACAAGGAGTAAGAGGAAGGTTTATGGAAGCACACAGGTGAGACTACGCAGGCGAGAACTCAGGCTGTTCTATGGAAACTGAACCGAGGGCAGAGATTCAGCAGCTGAAACTCCCCCCAAATTCAGAAGACTTCTTGCAACTCGATGACATTATTAAAGCAGATCTATATGCTTTCTAACCATTCTGATTGAAAGTGCTTGCTGTATTCAGATTTATGGAGTTTTCTGAAGGAGTTTTACTTGTCTAGCTATTGAAATAGTTTAATTTGTCCACTAGTTTTATTAAAAAGCCAAGCAGTTAGTAGTACAGCAATACCTAAGCACTCCGCGAGACTGAACCGCATTTCATATCCCTACACATAACATGAAAATACAAGAAAAATTTTCTACTGCTTTTATGAGGCATTTGTTATGAGTGTCCAAGGCACTGAACAAGGGACGTGGAGGAAAAGTAGAGTGTAATGGTATTTCAAAACTTTAGGTACAAAACCTCATTGATCCTATACATTTAACAAAAATAACTGGAATGTATGATACAAGTATTAGTGAATCTCTGAACACTAACTTACTAAATTTAAATTATTCTACCTGATTGGCATTTGTATGCTGAAATAATATTCAATCCATAACAAGATTATTCCTACTTTCCGCAGGAATGTGTGGTTAGTACTAATTTTAAGTTCAAGGAACCAGAGTCAGAAGAACAGAACATTTAAGACAGGTATTAGTGCATTTTCCTTAGGCATTGTATCACTGTAACTTCTCCATGCTTTCTTTCCACATTTTACTTCCTTCATGCCTTTTAGGGCAATATATCTAAAACCTAAGAAGGTCATACAATGGTATCAGACAGCAAAAAATAACTGAGAGTGAACACATATCTCTAGTAAGGATGTAAAACAGAAAATCAAATTAAGTTATCAAATATTCAGCTATGTAGTTCTGTTACAGTGTTGCCTAACCTTGATAAAATCTTTGATGAGCTGGGCTGCTTTAACCCCATTCTGTACATTAAAGCTTATATCAACTTTCACTTCAGTGAAGGAATCTGTCAGTTTAATAATAGGTACCTGCAAAAGAAAGACAGATTAAGTCAATACAGACTTCCAAGACACATTTGGTTTCATTCATATATACACCAGTAAAACTGAGACGTTTTATGAATTTATAGGGGAGGTAGACAGAGAAAACAGGACTCCTCTGTCTATTTACAAACTCACTCTCCTTGCTAATCTGTTTACATGAACTTGGCTTTTCTAACTCATAAATGGTATTTTCAATTTACTCTCCTGTTTAACAGAACTTAACACTCCATCTTAGAAGTGATTCATTTTAAATTGTTTTTACTCAGTTCCTGGTGCAGCAGCATAGTTCTAGTGGGGAAAACTAACACCAGAGGGAGACAAATGCTTAAGAAATAAAGATAAATGATAATAGACATACTCTTAAGAAAAGACACACTCATGTCACTGCGGGTCATTGATTCCTCCTCAAAATTATCTTCAAATAAGAAGCACGGACTTTCGACAGCACTCTGTCATGTCTCCACCTGAGTGGTTTCCAAATTACCTCTCTCTACTAATGACAGCCATCAACTAGACACCTGCTTAAACTCCAACACCCTTACAGACTCAAAATTAGCAAAAGGTAGGAAGTTATAATGAAATTCATCCTATCTGTGCAAGACATACTATTACATATTTATACAAGGCTGTACTTACTACTTCTATGTGAAAATATATTATGTCTGCTTACTTGCAATGAGAAAAAATAAATCATTTACTTATGCATAAACTCCGTCCAGAAATTCACAAGTCTAATCACATTAATTCACAACAACGACCAGTATAACCTCACTTAAAAGCAAGCGTATGTTGTGCACTATGGAAAATCCAGTGATTTTCCCCAGCAGAAGTGCTTCTGCTGAAGTGCTATCAATTATTCTGTCAGTAATAAAAACTGTACAAAATAAAAGGTTCTATTTCAAATTTATATAAAAAATAGTTTCTGCTTATGAAAATTCATCCTTTTAACCAAGATCAAACTTTGATTAGAAATTTAGCCTAGAACAAGGAAATACCCACTTCCCCCAAACTTACAGTTGCTTTATCTAAAACCTTTACTGAGTTTTCATCCGCTACATTGTGCTTTCTGAGAGCTTCTTCCAGGGTCCAAAGAGGTAATGTCTCCCATTTTCCAAACACAACTAAATCAATATCACTGAAATGGAAAGAAAATATAGATTTATTCAAAATAAGAGACCAATACACTTAAAAGATAAATTACTGACATCCACACATAACTAGAATAAAGCTGACAGAATGTAGCTTAACCCAATAATTTCATTTTCTGAGGAAAGGGGTGGGGATGAACTCTTACCCTTGGGGAAACACAGAACATTGCAGGTTACCAAGGGGAGGGGACAGATACACAAATCAATTAGGCTGCAAAGCCAGAAAGAGTCTCCTCAGACCACAGTGTCAGCAGAGAGGGATCAGCTCCTCCAGAGTGACTCAGAGCAAGAAATGACCTTGTTGTGAGTCACCACCTTTGGGCTGCATTCACCAGTAAGGCAGATTTAACACCTTGTCAGGGCAAGGGAAAGTCCTGTTCCCCATCCTCTACTCCCAGGTGCATGGCCCTGTCCCCTCCTTGACTCTAGGTCTGGACAGTTCAATGTACTGAAGGGCTTGGCAGAAACCAACTCAGCCCCGCTTTAAAAAAAACCCAACACATTCTGGGGTAATTCCCTGCTTCTTTGCAACTCAGCATTGGTCTTCTGGGTGATGAGAGCGCCTATGGGCGCATGGTAAGCAGCTGGCCTGTAGTGCCGAGGATAGGGAGCAGGGAAGGAGAGAGGAAAACATGGTGCCTTGACTTCAGGAAGCAACAAGCTGTTAAATAAGATCAAACTATCTAATTAACTTCACTCATTAACTTAGCTCCTTGAAGTGGTGTCTCCATTCTGCTACGCTTCCTCCCTATGCACACACACATTCATTGGACTACACAGGGAGCTGACACCCAGCTCAGTGCCTGAACTCAAATTTGAAAGGTGACTGGTGTCCAAACTGCAGACAGTGAACGCTACTGCGAGGTCCTGAGCTTCTTCCTTTCTGGTCCCCAACTTCTTCCATTTCCCCTGCCTGGCCGGGAAGACAAAGCAGGCAGGCGTACAGCCCTATAGTCATACTAGCAGGCCACTTCAGAATACGGAAAACCGCATAACAGAAAACACCAACAAATTTAGGAATACCTTTTTTCCCCCCTCCATGGGTTCTACAGGTCTGCTGATTTACAAACAGCACTGCTTTAACAATCTCAAAGAAACCGCATCTGCACCAGGTGAAATCTTTTTCACCGCCAAGGAGCGTTGGCAGCAGCTCAGCTGCACACCACTCAGCTGACAAGGACAGGCAGCGCTCGGCCAGCTTCAGAAAACTACGTTCAAAACCTGCTTGGAGAGCAGGAAATGCTGCTGGACACTTCTCCTCTAAACTAAATCAGTGCTAAACCCACTACTGATGCTGACAGTTAACAACAGGAGACGTTTTTCTGACACGCACCAAGAGAGAAAAAGCAGCTCTTATCACCTCGAGGACAGATACTGCCTGCAAAACAACACACAGATCCAGCCGCTAAAAAAATGTGTCCCCAAACCTTCAATGTCAGCTTAAGCAAAAGCGTACCAGGCAAATTCTAACACAGCGTAACAGAACTAACAACACAGTGTAGGTCCTTCTGCATCCCAGAACCTGGATTCTAGATCAACTATACAGTGACTGACGGGTGGGGAAAACCTAGGGCAAACGGACGCTCTGGCAGGAGGCAACAGTGAATTCACTACCAACACACAAATGCTGGTTGTTTTGAAAGTTTGGCAAGTACTGCCACAGGAAGGTTCTTTGTGGGTTTATGTACCATTTTTAAAGTGTCTGCATTTGTTCTCCCCAAAAAACTGAGCTGCAAAAAATCTGGAGGAAAGGCAGTACACGAAATCAAACAGATGACAGCAAAGCATTTTTGTTACATCGCTTTTGAAACAATCAAGCAAATACAGTAAAGAACTATTTGCTGTCAGTCATGTGGATAGGAATATCTCTCTTGCATTATCAGCATCCAACCGCATTTAATCAAGCCTCTTTAGAGTCAACAAAAAAAAGCCAAGAATGAGGTCAAATGTGAAAACACAATGTGTATTTGTACACCTACCTTCTGACTTTCCAAACACAAACCGAGCAATTCAGCTTTCCTGCAACTCCTTAGACTAAAGCAGATGCTAAAGTATCTGCCAGATACCTTCTGTTTCAAAAAGAGATGAAACGACGACTCGAGTATCCACCACTTGCAGTCCGTACTAGATATTAATTCCTCATGTTCCCAAAGCTCAGAACGCAATTCAAGTGCTGACCTCAGACTTACGCTATCTCAATGTGTTTGTCCCCTGCGGGCATTTAAGCCTTTCATTCTATTTCTATTTAATTGTCAAAAATCCTTACAATTTCTACACAGAAGATACCAGTGTTGCTGAGTAACGACTTTTCTTTACGAAAGCAAGTAATATATTTGGAAAAGGTAGAGACTGACGATTGTACAGACTTCACAAAAGAAGAATGAAAGAGAAAAAAACAGTTCTGCGTGTAATCTTTTCTCTTCAGTGCTAACATAAGTATTAACAAGGTAACAATGTTTCGATTTAATCATCCGTGGAGGTAAGATTTAGCTTTTCTTTTAAGGCCAACCCCTTACTTTGGTTCAGTCATTTAATGAACCCAAATCACAAAATAAGCCTTTTCTGACAACATGGTAATTCAGATCTTTTACTGATATATGCAAAATCTACATACACACATGTATTATAGTTAATAATTACTATATTTCTGTACACTTTGCAGAGTACTAATAGCTTAACACTTTCTTAATATAAGTAACACAGATATTGGGAGCTCGGATAGATTGCTACAGGGGCACAGGTTCAGCAGGCTGTCGTATTTGTTGTATGGAATTTACACTGAAAAATTACTAACCTTGTAGGTAAATATAAACCGGTTTTAAAACTTCCAAATATCTGCACCTGAAACACAAGAACAGGATATATGAAAACAAATTTTCAGGCTTCAGAAGACAAACAAAGCTCTATTCAGGTGCTTGGAAAGGCTGGTTATTGCTACCCTCCATTGGCAGATCTGGGTATTGCTAACAGGCACATTCTGGAGAGAAGTACTCTCTTCTGTTAAAGCATTTACATCTTCAATGTGGTATGAACAGCTAATCTTCACTGTTATTATGCATGAAATATTAATAACTTTGATTTTTCTATTAAAAAACCTTCTTTGTAACATAAAAATTTTCACCTTGACCAAATTTGGCAAAAACTCATAAACCACGATTTTAAAACACTTAAGAATGATAGAGCATAAAAACCTGTGTCAGTTCAACTTATTTTTTGCTTTCTTACCTCAAAGTACACCCTTCAGTCTTTAAACACATTTTCTAAGTTTAATATATTTCTATTGCTTTGCATACTTAAAAACAAAATTAAATTGCAATCTATTTTTTTTTCCTGAATTACAGAGCAAGTAGCACAATTCTGTTTACTTCTGCTTAAGCAACAAAAGTTCCAGAAAGCTTCACATGCCACAGATTTAGTTTATTATGCTGCATTTTTACTAGCACTGGAGGTTTAAATAACCAGGTTTCCACTGTAAGCTGTCCGAAACCACTTTCTCATTAACTCAGCCAAGCCTCGCAGCGAGGTCGGACTCACACGCTGAGTCTTGAAGGGGCACAGGTGAGACTTCAAAGTAAAAATCCCTACACAGTCTTCTGATGCGCTTCCTGGAGCCACCTTACAGACCTGCGCGTTCTGCTTTAACGAGTCTCACACACCAGCTTGATTGCCACCTATTTGTATGGCAAGTGACCCGCTTTTTATGTTTTTCCCCTTCGGGATAAGAAAAAGGGGGAGACGGGAAAAGATGATGTTTTGCAAGTAAGTGTCTTGATACTTCAGTAGACTAAGAAGCAGTATGAGTGCTTCCTCTGGATTATTTTATATGGCTTCACTCCTTTTACCCCTTCTCCCCTAATAAAAAGCACACGCAGGCAGTAAATTTGATGTTGAAAGTTCACAGCTTCTCAAACTAGAAAAGACTGCAAAAGATGCCACAAAACTAGCATCAATACTGTACTAGGTGTTGACAAAAGTATAAAGGCATCATAAAGCTAAGAATGTAATAACAACAACAACAACAATTTTTAATCCAGAATAATTAAAAAAACATCCTCTGTGAAACTGTTTGGGTCAAACCAGGATTTATTTGGCCCCCAAAATTGTCTGAAAAGTTCTTTTGCACAATAAGACAACCACTGAGGGGTTTGGAAAAAACTAAATGTGCTTTCACATTATCAAACGAAATAGCGTGTGCAGTTGAACAGCAAAGAGCCTTTATTGAATAAACAACCCTGAAAGTATTCATAAACTTACTGATACAACATATATGACCTTTACCGAAAGGAATGAGACAACATCTGCTGTTGTAAAATAATTTGGAGTAAGAGAAACACTGATTTATTATAAAAGAAATCCACACCCACACTTCCCTCTTGTCAAATCTGGAAAGATGGAAGAGTGGGGAAATGGGAACAGGAATGTTAAAGAATTTTGATTTCTTATTGAATCGGAATTTGAACTGTTGTAGCTCTGTAGCCACGTACATATTTAAAGCATCCCAAATACAGGACACTAGTATGACTTGAGAGACGCGAGCATTAGTTTTTGTGGTGTGCCAACACTGCCAATTATGTTTTTATTCTACGTGGACAGAGACACAACTTCAGACTTCACAGTACTGTAATGGACTCCTTCTACTCATGCATGTTATCATTACTATTTATCCTACATTTCTGCAAATTTGTTCATATTAAATACCAAACTTCCTGAAGGAGCTTTAATTACAGTATGTGTTCAAATACGTCCTCGCTATGCACAACAGAACTTGAAAACCCACAAAAGCTTGTAAAGTCCTTGCTACCAAAATCCCTCCATCAAAACAAAACAAAAACTCTTTCCATAGCCAATTTACGTTTCTTTTTCTTCTACATTATTAAGCAGAATTTTCCGAAGTTTGTCAAACTGAGTTCATCTTTATTTCCCTTCCCAATCACAGTATTTTCATAACTGAACTGTGTGAAGTATGCAACATTACCTCTTCTCAGATCTGTGAGGCCACATAACACTCAGACAGAAAGCAAAGAACATTATGACAAATCTATTGCCATTTCCACTGTGTAAGTACTTATTTGTTCAATAGTCAAATTTTCATATTCAGCTGGTGAAAAAACTTTGTTTTAAAACGCTTTTGTTTAATGTTTTGGGTTGTTCAGTTTCAGTGTAATTAAAGTCTTTCTTATGGTCAGAGCCTTGCTGATGCCAAGAACAGTTCTCACTTACTAGGAATGTTTCCTTCTAAGCACATTCCCTTGAGTAAGGGAGCAAACGACACAATTGCTAACTTCTATAAATAAAGCAACAGTTTAGGATACCTAGTTTTACCCCCCCCCCATCTGCTTTTTCAGCATTTTCTTAAGCAGAACAGGGGAAAAAAGAGAAAGCATGTGCACAGACACCTTCCACACGCTCTCTAGACAGTTAGGTTCACGAAGCCTGATTTTCCTTTTCTTGGTATCTGATTTTTATAGAGTACGTCTTACCTACGCATTTAGCGAGAAACTACAAACTGAATGTGTACATTTAACTCTCAAGTTTATTTTAGCTGGATTCACCACATCTATGACTCAAAATGAACAGCTTAAACATTAACTTATCACTTTACACTACAGCTCAAGCTGAGGACATTGGACCAGATAACACCCCACCTTCTCAGAGCATGTACTCGAAACTTGAATCTTGCAAGTAGCTAAACCAACACAGATTTCAAAAAGGTTAGTGGTTAACTCAAACAACTGAAAAATTACAACAAAAGACTGTCGCAGTTGAACACAGTTGAGTTCAGCAGTTCAGTTCCCAAGCAGATCTGTACAGTAAGTATTAGAAAAATACCACACCGGTCATTTCCAGGTTATAACCTGGCGTACTGTTGTCACCGCTCAGTTCCCCTCTAGCCCCCAGGAAACGGAAGGGCATACACGAGGAGGACTCTTCCCTGACATAACAAAAGCAGACAAAATGCACAGTAAAGACTTCGAAGAGCAGTTACTGACTTGACAAAAAGGAACTGGCACGCTCTTGCCCTCTACATTTCCAAGGACAGTGAAGAAAGACGGTCATGGCTGTTTTAACTGGCACTAACTGAAAAGTGAACTTCAGTGTGCAACTGCAAACTTCTCAGTCACGTTACAGCTAAGCCCTGCGGTCAGCTGTCACTGCGCGGCAGGGCTTGGAACTTGCTTCCCTTTCTTAAACAGATTACGGCTACAAAAACCAGTTTCAGTAGCTTTAAAGAAAGACTATGTTCTCAAGGCCCCAAAGTCATTCACATATATATACACATATACACATACATAATATCTTTAATATGAAAGACCTAGCTTTTACACATCTGTCCTACAGACAGTTAAGCATATCTCTGGAAGCACTAAGTTTCTGTGCCCCATTCAAAATGTCAGCGGTAACCAAACCCATTCACCCCATTACACTAGTAAGGCTGCAGCACACAAGCCTGTCTAGGATCTGGCAGCACCTTCTCTAGGCTGCAGCAATCGGTTATTTTGGTGAAAGCCCCTACCACAAGACGGGCAGGGCGTATCATTGCAAGCACTGTTTCATACCCACGCTGTTTCCTATGCTATTGCCTGTCGGACTGGCAGCCTGCTGCTCCCGCTCTTGACTGGGGTCTACACCACTGTTTCACTGGCTTAGAGGGGAGCTATGCAACACCTGTGAGCTACGCTGAAGTCTCTTACACAGTTCCCTTGGAAAGGTTATTGGTTTTGCTCAAAGACAAAGTTACCAGGCACATGTAGTACTGGCTCTATCAACTGCCTGCAACTGTGCAAAGACAGCTGTCACTGAGTGGAGTGTGCTCCTTCCATGTGTCACACATCACTAACATGTTGTCCGTAACAACATGAACCACCTAGAAAATGTGAGTCTATTTTACACACAAAACTGCACACCACATACATATAGCTTATACAGATATCATATTCTGTCATGTTCTGCCAATTTCTAAAAACACATTCCAAAAACCAGGCTAAGAAAATCTGAAATGAACAGTGGGTTTAAGTCACTCATGTCAAAACACCATCTTTTACCATGGCAGGATCAAAGAGTATTCCTTCTACTACAGATTCTGCTGTCTGAACTTGGTTTGCTGTTCCGGCTAAGTAGTCCTTATTTTCAACTACTCTTATCTACAGATAGACGACTATGGCCACAAATCTGCATTCTGGAAATGAACTCCTTGTTAGCAAACGGATACAATTAAACCAGATTCTATTATGCTAAAAATCCAACTGTCCCCCCGTAAAACCATCTTGAGTTGTAAAAGCAACTTCTCTGGCTTCTCTTTAATTCAACCTTTATTAAAAAAAAGCATAGCTCTGCACAGGAGAAACTGTGGTTTCAGCTGAACACGGTACTAGTAAAAGTCTGTCTTTGGTGGAAAGAGGCATTAGAGGCATTGCATAACTAGTAACGTATACAGAGAGAGGAGATCTACAGATTAGTTTCTTCCTGTACAAAATCCTGGTCCCTTTACATGTGTAAGGTATTTCAGTTTAGTTTAACTGTCCATTAAAAATAGCATGGCTTACATAATGTGGTGCTGCTGGCATTCCACCTTGACAGACTTACTGAAGACCACAGGTCTAGCACTAGAAGTGCTGCTACAGACTTCTTCAGTCCAGCCAGGAGTTTCAGCAGATTTTTTTTTTTAACGTAATACTTTACATGTGCACATGCCTGACATGTTCCCATTAATCTTAGTAAAATAAATACTAATGAGACTAAATGTTGCCACACATCACGCCCTTTCTTTGACTACAGTAGGTCTAGCTCTTCTTTGTTCCTATGTGTGATACAAAATGTTGACCTGTATTATTCTAGAAATAAAGATCATCTCTCTTGTTTGACCAGTAATCCTTTTGGTTTTTTTGAATATGCAAAAATCAACAGTATTTTCATTACTCAATACTCCACAAAGCAAGCAGGCACAAAATGTTGCTTTTATAGATGAACAAATAAAACAGTGTCTTACTCACATCTGCATTAGGCCAGAGCTCTTTAATAACATTTTCTATCCTGTTCACCACTTCCATCCGCATTCTCTCTTCTTCAGGTCTGGGAGACATATACTTATAAAAGTCAATGATTTCTTCATGAAGACTAAGAAAAAAAAAAAAAAAACAAAGTCAGAAAAAAACCCACAGGAGAATGAAATAGCAATTACTCTAATCAAGCATGCTTTTTAAGCTCCTAGTTAAGGGGAAGTTTAAGAGTAGAATGCAACTAAAAAAAAAAAAAAAAAAAAAATCCAGATTCACATCAGTTGGTAACCTTTAGTTTCATGTTAGTTTCTTATGTCATAGGTCAATATTGCACTGCATCTGCTAACAGTGTGGAAGCAAATGGCAATCCAAGCCCTTTCGATTCACACTGAAAGTCACAGTCCGTACTTCAACGCCAGCGTAACACAGAGACGGCTCAGCTGCCAACTACGAACGCAGCTGTAAGCTCCAAGCACATACTCTGCAAAAATTTAAACCGGAGTTTTTCAGCCAACGCTTCCTAGCCAGCCCCTTGGCACCAGCCAGGCAGCACCAGGCACCAGTCCATATTCAGCACCAAGCTTTTGAAAAGTTGATAGTAATTGTGCCAGTACTAGAGCTAGAAAAACTGCTTCTTTCACGGCTCAGAGAGGACGCATAAACTAAATAGGCACTCTCTCCCCATAATAAGGAAATAAGCAGTACACAGACAGCAGCGGTGGCTCAGAAGAATAAGTGATTGACAGACAGTTTAACCCATATATTTGACAGTTTACCACATTACACGTGCTTCTCACAGTCTGTAAGTAATGTTTAGATTGCCTATCATTAGAGCTGAAATAAAAATGTCTTCATACAGTGCCACAAATTTCTATGCTGCTGTAGCATCATAAACACATCATCATCTTGACTAACAATGTATTTAAAAAAAAGACACAATCCCTTAATTCCAGCAACATTTGGAGGAACTCTGGCACAGAGTAGCTAAATTAATTTGTTTCCTGCAATGACTATTACAGTAATAGCTAGTTATTTTTTTAAAATTTAGTGTTTCTAGCTACCAAGTACAACTCCACCTCTCCTTAAAGCTCTGAGGGACCACCAGAAGAGAGCAAGTTATTAAGAGCAAGCCCTTAGATGAGATGTGGAATCTAATAATTCCCCACTGCACACACACTTAAATAAATCAAATGTTAATAACTGGAAGTTGTACACAGGTGTAAAAAAAAAACCATATTAAAATATCTAAAAGTTGTAGTTAACAGAGTGAGCGTAGGGACAGAACTCAAACCATCTGCATTATGTTCTTCAGTACTGCAGCATTATGAACACCGCAAGCTTCTTTCTCTCCGGGACTGAAGAATAAAATATTTGCATTACTTTTCATTGACCATTTATTAGAATTTTCCCACACACACATTTAGGAGAAGAGTCATAAAAAAATCAGCAACCTGAGGTGGCCATCACCACAGGCTCTCCATAGCTAACGCAAAGAGAAAATCTCCTCTGATGAGTTCCCGCAAAGGGAGAGCCAGACAGATACCTGATTTAGCTGCTCTCAATCAACCTTTGGAGAAGCTTCTCCTCCTTTGATACCTACAGAAGGCGCCTTACAAACACTTACACCAAAAACTAAAATAAAACAAACCCTCCCAAAGATCTCCTGCAAAAATGCAAGGTGCCACCTCCCTCCTCTCCCCCATCGCTGCCACCCTGGCTCCAAGCCCTGCTCGCACACATCTCAGGTATCATAGGGATGTTCTGAACAAAGCAGCTATAACACTCGTACCAAGATATGCTGTTGTCAGCATTTACGTTGACGTTGCTAGGAAATTTCTTACCTCCTTACAGCTGCCTTCTTGCTTTTCCTTGGCAGCTTACAACTTGGGGTTAACATGTACATTCCAAACCACCGCTGCTACCCCTTACACAGGCACTGACTCCTCCACCTTTGGCTTTTCAGCCATCTCCTGTTCTTCTGTTCTTCACTGCTATTCAACGTATTGGCACTTAAACCTTCTTAGAGCTAGCCTCCCACTGCAGAAACTGAATTCAGATGCGAAGTATGCGATAAAGGATAAGGTGACCACTCCAGCAACGAAGTTCACTCTCCGACCCCACCGACAGTCACACATACCAAATTCCTCCTTTAGTCTCCACGTTCTTGACCATGAAGGTAACATTCAAAAACAGCAGCAACAAGGAAGACAGGCAAAAACGCATCATCAAACTCTAGAAAACACCAACTATTTTCCAACTGTCAGTTGGTGAACCAGCTTACAGGAAGGCCTGGGAGTCAGTCCAAGGCTTCCTATCACATCTGGCAAAGTCTGTACTTTGCGGGCTATGTTGTGGGGAATTGACGAAGTAACACAGCCCCATCCCATTTCTGCCTCTGCTCCTCCGGTCTAGCGGGAACAGACTGGTCACATCCACAAGGCACAAGATTTGCCCCAGAGCAACGTTTTTAGCAATGTAATTTTGAGTGCATGCATGCATGCACTTTATGTCATGAGGAGTGGCACCACGCTGTCTGACGGCACTTAACGGCACAGGACATGCTGCGATAATACCACGGGACTCTCCCTGGGGAGAAATTCATGTATGGCACAGCACAAATCCATACTGCCTGTCGTTAGCAGGCCCAGCTGCTCATGGGCGTCCGCTCTGCAGGAGCTAATTGCTCCTCTGCCCCATCAGGGAACTTTGAAAGAACAAGGCAATCAGAAATGAGGTCCCCAAAGTGCACAAAGGGCCAAGCCATGTAGACACTGCAGTTCTCAGGGCACTTCTCTTTAACTCCACTGACACTCTTAATCGAGATAATTGTATCAACTGGCGCATTCTTCCAAAGCACATAAAATAATGATATGTTGTCAGAAACAGATGTATTACTTTTTCTAAATATAAATAACATATGTCTGCATCTCTTTAAATGGGATCCTTCTTAACTAGTCGTGTAAAGCCTTATAGCAAAACAAAAAATCAAGCAGCATGCAAACACATAGAAACTTACATTCTACATGCACTGAATGTTACTAAACAATACAGACGCAGAAAAAATGAAATATGCACTTTTTCAGTGATAGAAGCAAGGCTTAAAGACTGCTAGAGAAAGGCCCTGTCAGCACGGCAGTGCTGATATACTAGAGACACATCCGCGTTTCACCTGCCCCAACACGCCATGCTGCTCGGAGCACCTGTGCTGCACACAGCCACAGCAGCCAGGAGGCAGGCAGAAGCCTAAAGGCTCGAGACTACACCTGGAACCGTACTTCCCTGCCCAGTAATGGCTGCTGCCAAGAAATAAGAATATGATTAATTAAAGCCAAGACAAACAGAAGTAGCCACATGCAGATTTCAGAGCAGTACAACATGACTTTGAGGCGTGACTCCAATTGATGTGGAGTTAACTCAGTTGTATTGAAAATTAAAACTCAAGGTTGTTGACTGTCTTAATCAACATCTATTATAGTTGCTGTTTTTCAAAACAATTTGTTTGTATTAATGGAATCTGTTTGTAAGAGTCTCTAGTGGAATTTTGTATCTTTAGCCAAAATGAAGATCAAAGAGACTGAGAAGTTATTTTTGGCATCATAACAGTATTTTATTATTTAATGCCATTACATTCATTAGTTATTTTTGATAAAAGTCCTTAAAAGGAGACTTGTTTTTAGAAGGAAATTACACTACAATAAACCTGATTTCACTATGGAGAGATACTTTCATTTGGCTTTATAGTCACACTGAAGCATATCAACACCCAAGACCTACTTAGGAAGTATGAAGAGAGCTTTCTGCAACGCATAAGAGCATTACTTTACTGTATTTATCACAGTAAATAGAAGTAAACAAGTGGGTCTTTGTCCTGTTCTTCAGGAAATCTTTATACATGGGGAAAAGAAAAATAAAATCGTCTCTTACACTTTCTCTGAGTATGTTTTAAAACAAAGTACCAGCTTCATCACACTGTGTTTTCAAGCCTTGCAAGCTGATTCTATAAGAAATTCACAGACAAAACAGAATTACAGAGAAAAAAAGCAACTAAGATGCATCACTAAAAAAAATAAATTATGGCTGCAAAAGTTGTAATCACAAGAAGGTCTTCGCACCATAACATCCCTGAGTGGCACCACGAGGAACGCAAGCCTGCTAGACTCAAGCCATTCGGGTGAAAAGCCGCAGCTTTTGTGCAGATGCAAGTGCCGTGGAACACAGCGCACTACATTTCATTCTTAGTTTGATCACACCTTACTGTGTTTTGCAGCACAACGTGTGGGTCTGAGGCTGCAACTCGGGATTCTCAAACTAGTCCACATATATCCAAGACGTTGTTATTCTGGAGCACAACCCTACTGCACCTTTGGCCATCAATTAAAAAATAACCACACACGAACAAGACGTGATCTCCGTTTCAGACGCACAGCACCCGGACAGACACGTGGACAAGCACACACCCTTGCCCGTGCCTCTGCTAGCCGACACACCGAGCAGCACAACTCCTCACTGCGCCAAGCCCAGAGCCGAAACCCAGTGGCACCGGGAGGCACGGTGCTTCGTGCAGCCTAACGGGAGACACCACACCAGCTGCCTCGCCCGCACCACGACCCCGGCGCAGGCTGAACCACCAGCGCCCTGCGCTCGCAGACC